ATCTATCTGTTCAAGTAATATATTTTACTCAAGTGATTCTATGATCAGACAGTTGACAGCTTATTTTCGTAACTAGCCTTGTCTTCTATAAATTATAATCTTTTCTTAATTATCAATTTAATTATAATTGTATTCACATTGAAATTTAATTATTTGAAGCAAAAAAAGAAAGGAAATAATAATGCAGCTGAAATATTTAACTTAGATTAGAGATATATGTGTGTTCCTTTCGATAATAGGTTTATGATTTAGTAGCTCTTTGATCCTTATTAGAGGTTTCATTTATTTTTACAGTAAGCAATAAGCAATTATTTATTTAACAATAAGCAAATTATTTAAAATAAATTAATTACAGAAATAGTTCAATACCACTGAGATCATCTACTATACCGAGAGAATATACTTATATAACATTTATATTATATTACTTTTACTTTATTTTATATATTCCTAAACTCTATTTGGTACCTGGAATCTCTTCAATCTTCCGGTAGACTGGTCATTGTTCAGGAGATTCACTGCTAGCTCATTTGGATGCCCCTTTAGCTTTTCTATGTATTTCTTTCTAAATTTTCTGATCACTTCTCTAAATCATAAACCATAAACCTACAAAGAAGTTTCAGGTCCTGATAAATGGAGTAATTTGATACGTACCATGGAACTTTAACAATATTTCATACAGTTCTTGATTGGTGACCATTGTAATATTTCTATATTGGAGGTACTTGCAGTGCCATAAAGTTGTATAGCAAACGTACATATCGGTTTAAATATGACTTTATAAAAAAAACCTGATAATCCATACTTAATTGAAGATTTGGGCCAAAAAAGCAATACATATTTCTCGTTTTTAGGGTGAGTTATATCTACTTTGCATCTAGATATAGTTTATCTAGATAAGTCTGCGGTTTAAATGTATCCTCAGGTATTTCACAGCATCATGTTGGGAGATTACAATGTTATCTAGTCTAACTTGTGGACAGGTTTCTCTTCTCAGTGCAAGACACCCATCTATGGCAATTATTACTTCTTCGTTTGATAAAAATGATTTTCCAGGAAGAATTTTTTAAGTTTTGAAACTTTTTAAACAAGACAACATATGTTATAAGTAGTTCTATGAAGTAACTCTAAAATTTTAATTATTTACCGCCCGTACGTTTGAAGTACAAAGGCTATAATTATGCCATTAGCCTGGTTGGTGTAGAAATATGAGTCCAATTCCTTTTTGCCTAATTCCTTTCCGTAAAAATTGGTTATATATCAACTTTAGTCTGAGCCTGGCGGGAGCAGTGATTGAAACAGGATCGATTATATAAAAGAGGCATCAATTAATAACATAAAAAGAAGTCCAGAGAAAGTAAAATTTTAAAAAATAGTTATATCCTTATGTAGTGAGACCATCTATTGGTAATTGCATACCATGTTAAAGTGGAATTTTACGTTATTTGGACAAATATAAACGAAGTAATGGAGTCTGAAGTGATAGCATGTTTGTGTTATTGTAATAAAAGAGAACTTCGTGAAAACAGATTACTTTAGGCTTCTTTTTTGACTTGATAAATCTTTTATAAAAACGTTGCAATCGATAAACCGAGGTTATGGTGATGAATGGTAAAAACACTTCAGACAATCAAAATCTGTAAACAGTAGGTGAGTTAAGTCTTAAAAAACTTTAATTTAAAGTAGTCAAAAAGGGACTTCTTCACATTATTGTTTTACTAGGTAATGTCTGAAGGGAGTTCCATTTTTTCAACCTAACCTTAACCTTATTTTGCCATTTTGAAGCACTTAGTGCTTTGTATTCGTTGTATTCGAGCAGAATATTGTGCAGATGAAAACTAGCGCTTGTTGCTCGATTATGCGCCAAAAGGATCGAAGAAATTGATTTGTTGGTAAGAAAAATATTGTACCAGCATGGAACTCTGCTTGTCTAATGCAATACATTAATAAGTTGGAGTTTCAATGCAGATTTTGCTGCTTTTGACTTTTTTGCTGCTTACGTATATTAGAAAAAGCCTGTATTCATAGTACAATAATTAAAACCAATTATCAAATTGGAAAGGACACTAAATAGTAACTGGTTGATTCAAACTAAAAATTAAGCAAGTCATTTAATCTGGCATATGTCTGATGCATTCAATTCGTATATAATGGGTGTATATTGCAGTGAAAACGTTTCCAATGTGTTAGCAACGCAAACACATGTCTTATAGTACGAATACCGATTTTTTCCAACGAGTCCTTATACTCTTAAGCAGGTAGCTAAGAACGCGTGCGCACAAATTGCATCCTGTCTCCTACGAAATAATCCATAACAATGAAACGTTGAAAAATTGCTCCTCTACGGATTGCAGATAAATTGTGATTTTTATTGCAACAGATGAACCAAAAATGTAAAAAATCAAACGTTGCAAGTGTGTGACAGATGTTTGAGTTCACAAATTTTTCGACGTTCAACACAAATAAATAATATAAATTAATTAAGGGGTCCACAAACAATTGGAAGTGGCAGAGCACCCTTCCAATTTGGAAATTTTGTTGCGCAACCAAATCGAAATACCGCGCAAGTGGCCTAAATTGGTCTTCGGTCTGTTCTGTTATGACATAGGCAGATCTGTGTACCTATACTGGATTTAGGGTTGAAACAAAAACAACTAACAGCAAAAAGTGTGGTTCAAAAATTTTATGAAGGGTGAGTCAGGTTGCGCTTGCTGCACGCAATACACAATCTTTACTTATTCAAACACCATACAATTATAAATATTCATGGAAACACATATATACATATATAATTTTTTAAGAACAAAGTGTAAAGTAAAAATTTTAAAGGTGTGTTGAGGTCTTTTAAAATCACCATCTGTATTCATTTCATATGTATAACCAAAAACTGCTGACTAATTTTTTTTAATCTTCTACCGATCAACTTGCGTCAGGCACACTTATTCCTGAAGAGCTCAACACATAATAATTTAGAAAAATAAAACATATTTATTGTCAAAGAGAAGGTTTGTTTACTTTACGTTCAGTTCAAGCAAAAAAGTAATCAGTATAATTCTGATATGTAGACATATGTAATTCCATATATATCTATATAGTCCTACCAAAAACAAAAAAACAAGGTGCAAATTTTTATTTTTTGGTACAAAACAATAAATATAGTAGATTGTTTAATAAGTTCTCGAAACGGAAAGAAAAAACCGGATTTTCGTCTTGTGAAAATTACTTTCTTTTTAATATAATCTATCTTAACTTCAGTATACTTCAATACCCAACGATGGTCCAAATCATTGATCTCGTCATTGTAGTAGTTGTCCAAAAAGTCTGCTAAATAACGATCTGAAGCAGCTATTACTAATTCGTTTTATTGAAAACCCTTTTTCCCGAAAAAACTTTTTGAGGTGCGAACGCGTCCAGAACTCAATGGGAGCTAATTCTGGCGACTTGTTGTAACAATTGGTGGTAATTCACAGATTTAGCACTTTTTGAACTTTTTGAACTAAGTAGGTGCATTGTTTTAATGGAATACGAATTAAAAATTTTATTAGCAGTGACTTTTTAAAGAAGTGCTGTATTCAGTGTATTCAAAACAGTATTGTTTTGTCAGTTTAGGGTTATTCATAAAATAAATTCATATTGCATCTCATAAAACTGACGATATCTGGACATAAATTCTTCATTCAGCTGGATTCACACCACTCTATTGTGTTTTATATTAATTTTTATTTTCAAGTTTTACCTTTAGAGATGATATGACGCACATCATCTTTTGGATCGTTTTTTGAAATATTCCATTTACACATTTAGGTGCTTCCATAAATGGGTCACTGGCGGTACTGGTTTATATTACTCTAGAGACCATTAAGAGAAGTATCTTCCTCTATTTTCTGCAACTTGCCAATAGCAGATGGAAAGCACTTAAGACTGGTTTTTTGACCTCTTTTACAAAGTATCAAATTCATGGAGGAGGTTCAGTTTTTGCCATTGACACCTAACTTTAAATAGCTGTAAGCAAGTAATGGATTAAAAGTAAATTTGAAATCTGTTTTTGGTGAAGGCAAACGATTAAAAAGACGTCAAAAGTAAGCTTATTGAATAATTTTCTATATCTTGCACTGAAAACTACAAGCCATCATCCATTCATTTTATGAAATGGAATTATTTTCGGTTTCATAGATAATATCAAATAATATTTTTAACCAAGAAAACAATCTTTAATATAAACTATTAATTGATTTTATTAATTATAAGATTTTTTAATTAATAAACACAGTTTTATTACTTCTTCAATTATAAGCTATAGAATATTAATTACTTTTAATCGAAGATTTTATAAGTATAATAAAAGTAATTCTATCAGTTGAAAGTTGAAAAACGAATAGTATGAGGCTCTCACTCATCCAGTAGTTAGATTGGCCCACGTTTTTTCTTTTACATTTGATATCATCTATATTAATAATAAATAACATTTTCTTACAAATACTTATAAATAAAATTAGAAACTATGAAATAAACTGATCTGTTTTTCTATCCTAAAATTTAGCAGAAATTAGTATAGTAAATTAATAATAAATTAAAAGCTCAACATACTTTATTTTGTTTAAATTTGATAAATCTCAATAGAAATAAGACGTATTGGTATTTATTGAAAAATGAATACCTTAAATTGGATGATATAGAAATATAATACCCAGAATTGATATAATTATGTAAAGCAACTGATAGTATTTCTGATCCTTGCTCTTGTATTCTTATCTACATTACTTAATGTTCTATAATTCTCTAAATATCAGGATTTCCCTTTTATACTACTGGTTGATTTTTTTTTTGTATGCATTTCTTTAGTGCCATTACAAGCTCAACCATTAAAGGCCCAACTTTAGATAATTCATAAAGAGTATTACCTTAGTTGTATGTCATGTGAATACTCTTGTGAGATAGTATATAACCATTAATATTATTAAATTATATGTATTATATTATCTCAAAAAAAAAACAAAACATATTTGTTACGATTTTATAACAAATTTGTACCTATAGTATAACTTCTAAGTATTACATTCATATATTTATGATAATAAAAAACAGGTGAACTTTCCGCTTTATTTCAATTAATTTTTATGTTCAAAAATCCTTTCTCAAAAGTGTAAGTTTCTATGTCAAGTATAGTATAATGATGAGGATAATAGAAATTAATGTATGTATCCAGCACAAAGTGGGTTTTGATGAACCAGACTGAAGGACCCTACGTTTTTTAAGACGTGCTTCATTAATATGTTCACGTGACGGCTGAAAATAATATACCAATTTAATTTATTAAAATCATTTTTACCAACACGATTAACAGTTTACTTACACGTACTAAATCCTCATTTTCAACAATCATATGTCCTTGCTCATCATCTTCAACACTTACACCTTCTTGATCTACATGTTCAGCACTTACACCTACTTGCTTATCAGCTTTAACATTTATACGTCCTTGCTCATCATCTTTAACACTTACAACTTCTTGAACTTCATGTTGCACATTTACGCCTAGTTGTTCCTTAGAGCTAATACTTATACGTCCCTGATGACTAGAATCACCATCACCACGCTCAAAAACTGCGCCAGCATTAATTCGCATGGAACTCACACCATTAGAACAACCATCTATGACTTCTCCACCGACCTCAGTCGAAACCTTCGAAGTTTTAGCTAAAATGAGAATACTTTATTTCTGAAAAAGTCTCTGAAGATATTCTCGACTTATTGAACTTACAACGACGCATTCTAAAACAATAAATTTGGTAAAAAATCGATTTACGGATATCATCCGAACACCACTTAAGATTTTAAAATTTCGTCTTCTCACTAGCTACGATATCCAAATGTTTCTTATAAATGATATAATAAAAACTATATACAATGAATTTGATAGAAAAAAAATTTTATTAAAATAAAATTATAATGGAAGATTGCTTTGTTTTTTAAGAAATGGTTGCTTTGTTTCGTAGACGATTTAAAACCAGTATCTTCAAAACTATTCTGTTTTTAGTAACAAAATTTAATGTCCCTGTAGTGCGATGATTTGAAAGGCTATTTAAAGTTCATGATTGAAGGATTATTTGGTTTTAAATATATATTTGTTTCGTTTTTCTAAGTCATCCAAATTTTGAGAGGATATTGCATATAGGTAATATATGGTGTTAATATTTCCTAATATTGGTGAGGATATATGACGACAGATGATTAAAAACTCGATGATGGAAAAGTTCTGTAATCGAATTGAAATTTCTGAATTATGATTTCAATTTCTGAATATTTCACTTCACTATAACTTCTGTGTTCTGTGATTCAAGATGAACTAAAAGAAAAATACAGTCAAATTTCCATAACTCGAACTTCTATAACTCGAACTTCTATAACTCGAAGTAAAAAGAGTGCAACAGAGTTTTAGAGAGCAAATTACATACAATTCTGCTTTTTTAACTCCAATTTCAATAACTCGAATTTCTCCAGAACTCAAATAAAAATATTGTCACGTGCCAATAGGAATATGAGAAAATGTATTCTATAAATCCAACTTTTGTTTTAAGTATGCATCCATTTTGGTGTTAATTTTTACTTTTGTCCCTGGCAAACGGTAGACAAATGGTAAAGCACTCCTTTAAAAAAGCTGGATTTGGTCAATTTTCTATATGGGATGAACAGGACGACATTCCTTTAATTTTCTTGAATAACATTGATGAAGATCGTGAAATGATGTAAAAGTAAAGTAAATAAAATTACTTCCAATGCTACTTTTAACCATTATATTATATTGAGCTTGACAATGAAATTTGTGCAACAAGCTTTCGTACATATGACGATATTATAGAGTATTAAAGCTTAGAATTAGTGGATCCGATTCTAAGCGCAACGGAAGGTGATGATGAGGGTTCGGTTGATGAAATTGTTCATTCAGTCTTCAGCCTTCCAAGAATGAAGTAGAAGATTCAATCAAAATTCTGAATTTTTATTTGCAAACGAATGATACTACAACTGATGATCACTCTAAGAGTATGAATAAAGTGGAAACTCTTTTTAATAAAAATAAGAAAAAAAACTTAGAAACCGAAACCCTAATTTCTGAATATTTTACTTCACTATAAATTCTGTGCTTTCTTTGATTGCAAATAAATGTAATACTAGTTTTTTTTTAAAATAAAAAAATTCTTTAACTCGTAGTCTTCATAAATCGAACTTTTTCTTTGCAAAATGTTATTTCGAGTTATGAAAGTTTGACTGTATATGCCTGTGACTGTATGGAACTGATGCTATATGCCTCTTTATGGAACTGATGCTCATATTAACAGATGTTATGCTGACATATTGCGTTTAATCGAATTTAAAGGATATCATTTAGTGTACTTATAAGAAGACAATGAGTAACTCAATTTTTCTTATCGACATCCGACAGCAGTAGCAGTAGCTGGAGGAAAGTGGTAAACCATAGATAAATTTTTGGAATAATAGACTAAATCAGCGTGGAGTAGAACAGGGTTTGTGTAGGCAGCGTAGTTATAATCGAGTAAATAGCAGCAAAGGTAGGTGGTCAGGTATAAATCGGTCGTCAAAGAACTCATATGCATTCAATTAAAAGAAAAAAAAAAAAAACACTACCACACAAAAATTGCTTGCTGTTGCAATGAAATTTTCACATAATTTTATTTTGACCAACACCTCAAAATTTTTATACAAAATTTTGAATAATTTTCTCCTATGAAAATCTATTGAATAGATTAATTGTTACAAAGCGCTTTACAACGAAATGCATGTGACCTTTTTAACTCGAGTTGATCAAATCTATGATCAACTCTTTGCCTGAGAATCGAACATTTTAACGAAATCATTTGTTATGTTTGATTAATGAAAATACCATATAAAATGTCTTAGAGCGTGAATATTTAGGAATTTTAATTAAAATTTTGTATTCGTAACATGATTGGATGATTATAAGATTTACCTCAGTCAATAATGCGATACTGCTATTTGTTTATACTAATACAGTCAATTAGCTTTAATAAAGTCGAACTGAAATTTCACTGTAATATTAATAAACATATTCTGATTTTTCGCATCCAAGACTTAATTTGGCTAAATCAAATTTTCTGAGAAATTTTTTGCACTACACTTATTTAGCCAAACTGTGCGAGTTGAATGTTGACAACTAAAGTCAGCTGTAAATATATTTTGTGTACTATTGAATTGAATTTTTAAAATTAAATCTAATTAAGAACTGTGAAAGTCACTGAAAGCATTGAGAGTTATGTTATTAGATACAGCATAATTGCTTAATAAAATTTTAATTTTATAAATATTATTTAAAAAGAAAAAACTAACTAAAAATAGTGAGGAAAGATGCAGCTAATAACTGCGAATCTATCGAGAAAGTAGGTTTTTTTATAAGAATATTTGCTGACAACAAATTTTTCACTACGTTTTCAAGCAATTTTAATGAAAATGAAATAGTACTTAAATGGAAAATGTTAAATGACTTATAATTATTTGAAAAGGGGTAGTGAACTGCTACCTAAAAGACCTGTTGTGCCCCTTAGTCGAATTAGAGTGTTTCGCCAAGTTCGGTTATTTCAATGAAAGACAGTATAGAGCCTATCTTTCCTAATTTTGAATCCTTACGCGATCCATGAAATACCCTCCTAGGTGTTTCTTTCGCTTGTGCTTCTATGTCCAAGCACATGGTATACATAATGGCTTATTGTTATTGGAAAAGGGGTAGTAAACTGCTACCTAAATGACGTGTTGTGCCCTTAGTCGGATTAGAGTGTTTCGCCAATTTTCATTATTTCAATGAAACACAGTATAATCTTCAATCCTTACGCGATCCATGAAACACCCTCCTAGGTGTTTCTTTCGCTAGTGCATCAGTGTCCAAGCACATGGTATACATAATGGCTTATTGTTATTGGAAAAGGGTTAGTAAACTGCTACCTAAAAGACCCGTTGTGCCCCTTAGTCGGATTAGAGTGTTTCGCCAAGTTCCATTATTTTAATGAAACACAGTATAGAGCCTATCTTTCCTAATCTTCAATCCTTACGCGATCCATGAATTACCCTCCTAGGTGTTTCTTTCGCTTGTGCATCAGTGTCCAAGCATATGGTATGCAGTTTCTCTGACATAATGACTTAAAAAAAGACAAAATAAAGACTCTCCAAAAAATGTTGATAGTGTGTCATTGCCGCTTATCAAAAGATGTTAGTTACAATGTAGTTAGTATATATAGCTCAATGTAGTTAGTTATTAAAATATGTTATTATCTATTACCTTTAACCATGAAATAGTCTAGGTAGGATAATTGTATTCAAAGTGGAGAGTGGAAATGAATAATGGTTCTTTATTGCGCATTAGACTTAAACATTTTAACCTTATGTCTCACTAATGATTCTAGGCAGCTACGAAGTGCACCAGTTTTTTGCAATTGGTCCTCTAAAAGAGACGAAATCTTTACTTCCCAACTTTTAAGAATGGTTAATGAAATTTATGAAGGAAGCAAGAGAAATGAATAAATTGCTCAGAGAAACAAAATATGAATTTCATTGACTTGAGTATGAGTATGAGTAACACAATGCTAGACGATATACTTAGGAATGTACTTAGTTAAGTGGTAATATTATAAACTAAGTTCATTAATTAAAACGTTCTGGCACTTTAGATGCAAAAACTCTGTTTATATTTGTCTATGATGAAACTTTAAGTTTCTGTCTTACCGATGATTGTGATGGCCAATAGATGCCATCACCATAATAACTACGTTGAAACCCAATTGTACTTTACGAGTATTAAATATAAAACAAAAATTATCAATCATAACATTTTTTAAAAAAGAGCTTTGTCGAGTACAATACAATCAGGCTAGCATTTAACCCAATTCTTCAAATATAAAGGTATCGAGTTCAGCTCAAGAGATTTTCTTTCATACCGACAATTGGTTCGAAATGATTCCCTCGTAATGGTGACTTTACCTTACGGGAGCAGAAAACCATACACCATGTCAGTGAAGTAGGATGCTTAGTCGTTTATATTCGTTGAGTTAAAAGTCTGTAAGACTTTGTAAACCCTAGTAAAATATCGTATCTTTTGATTTTCAAATATATAGTTATAATGACTGCATGCTTTTAAAGCATTTTATTGTAAACTTTGAAGTGTGTATTTCCTGTGGAAGAAGCCTTTCCATTTAATACTTGTAAATATTTTTTTTACAGAAAAATATTTACTTATTTCTCTAATATGGAATATTATTTATTGTGTTTATTATTTAACCCTTTTAAAACCGCAACTTATTTTATTGTAGAAATTTCCATGTAAAAACAGTCTGAATCATCCCCTCCTTTAAACTTTATAAATTAACAATTTACTCTTGTTTGTTGTTTTTATATATAGTTTTCAAAAACACAAATTTATTTTATTTTCTATAGATTTAAGTTAAATTTATTGTTAATTTTTTTATTTAATTTCATTGATTGTCGACTCATGCGTGCTACACGTGTGCTGCGATCGGATCACTTTCTATTATTTTAGAGGGAAGCCTGATAAAAAGAAAAAGGGATACTTTATTTAATTTAGATTTAAAATAGATTTTTATGTTAAAGATTAGAACATAACTATTGCATTCAATGTATAATATTATATTTTATTAAGGTGAAGTAATCACAGTGATACTTGTGATCAATCACGATATTTACCCTAACACATAATTCAGCATTGTGTACGGACTATCTATCCCCAGACAATCAATTTTAAAAATCTTTTCATATGAACTTTTTATTGAAAAATTCATTGGAAAAGAGATTTAATATAACTGAATGAGATTATTTAAATCAAATGTGAAGCAGTGAACACTGGAATCTTAGTCAGATCTG